TTTACCTTTTATCTCATTTGATCCTCAAAACTAAGAGTTAGATACTGTTCTTATCCCCATTTTACATATGGGGATGTTGAGGCTGAGACAGATGAGGTGACTTGCCCAGGGTCTTACACACCTAGGCAAATGTCTGAGGTTAGATTAGAGCACAAGTTTTTCTTAGTCCAAGTCTAGCACTCTAGCCACTGGACCACCTCCTGTCAGCTTCCTGTTCCCAGGCTTCCTTCCCTTAATTCTGCTATTTAGTGTACCTACCCACTTGGATAGATCTCACAGTGTCCTAGAGTTTAATAGGAAGGGTATGCTGTGGTAGGTGGAGAGTAATAATGGCAGAGATGAGGTGTGGAGGTGGACTAGGAAGGGGCAGAGATGAGGTGTGGAGGTGGACTAGGAAGGAGCAAACCTGGAGGGAGGTGAACCATGAGGAATTCAGTAGGTGAATGGTATGTAGAAACCAGAGATGAGGAATATAAGGATAGACTGATGTGATATGACTTGAGATTGATAGATTAGAATGTGGATCAGATAGAGAATCAGGGATAATTTCAGTGTTGAGTGATGGCATTGGAATGAGGATGTTCAGTTCAGCCAACACAAGCAAGGCATCACCTGCCAGAAGTTTTAAGAAGCAGTTTGCCTTTTAGAGGAAGTCTATATAAGGAATAGCATGGGATTTGATGAATGGAATTAGGACAAAAGATATTTCAGGAGTTGATGTTAATTCATGGTCTCAAGATTGGGAAATAGGATTGGTGTCTGACCAATACAGAGAAATTGGGTAGAGAAACTACTGAAGAAGATAGGCTTTTGTCCCATAATCTGTTTCTTTTTCTAACCTTTACCAACCTTGGTTTCAGTTAAATATAGTAGATAGATGGATCAACTATAAATAAATAGACCTTTGAACCTGGTGCTTAAAAGATGATTGGAGACCTTAAAGGAGATAAGTTTTTCATAAAAGGTGAAAACCAGCTAAGTGTAGGTCAAGAAAGGATCTAGGAGAGGAACGTTAAATAGCAAGAAAATTTCTAAGAATTTGAAAGGTGAGATTCATAGAATTTGGGGGTCAACTAAGAAGAATGAGTTTATTGAGGGATGGTGGAGGAAAGAGCTTTTGAGACTTGACTACACAGGGATATAAGAAGTGAAAGTTGTTGAGAAATCTTGGGTCTGGAAACCAGAAAAGAAGGGAGCATGAACAGAGAGCCTAACCCCCTCCATTCTCAGGAGTTCATTCAAAAATGCCTGCAACCTGAGCCTGCTCGTCGACCTACAGCCAGAGAACTACTTTTCCACCCTGCACTGTTTGAGGTGCCCTCACTCAAACTGCTTGCTGCGCACTGCATTGTGGGACACCAACGTAAGTTTTGCTTAGGATCTCTTTTTACTCTAGTGCCTCTATAGCTATACCACTATGACATCATCATGAATTTCTCTTCTTCACCCAAGGGATTGTTTTGTTCCGCACAACTCCTCATCTCTACCCATGGCATTATAGGGTCACAGTATGTGACAAATACCACCTTTTTGCTCTCCCCCCAAGTTTATTATCCTTATAAGTCTTTTGGGGAAGAAAAGCCTTTTTTTGATGTCTTTGCTTCTTATACCTCCTATAACTTTCCACTCTGACTCACCTATCCATGTCCTCCAGACCTCATACCAGAAAATGCTCTGGAGGAGATCACCAAGAACATGGACACCAATGCTGTACTGGCAGAAATTCCTCCAGGACCTGGGAGGGAACTTTATCGAACCCTGTGAGTGCTGTAAGGTGTTGAAAATAGTTTAGCAGCAAGATGTAAGATGCTGTGTAGTGCTGTGGTTACAAAAATTAGTACAACAGAGACAATGGAATTTCCAATCTAATGAAATGAGAGAGGAGAGATATATACAAAAATATTTAACTGAAGTGAGAGAATAGAAAGGACTAGGTTCATGTAAAGGCATTATGAAAGATTTGAGGAGGGAGAAATCATTTTCACCTCTGGGTGGGTATGAGGGAAAAAATTCACGGAGGAAAGTAGAAGCTGGCTTGGGCCTTGATAGAAGGGTTGGAAGGAATTTATTCCAGGTATGGGGGATAGTGGGAGTGCATGGTAAATGGGCATTCTATTTTGTCTACAAGATGTCTGAATGTCTATAAGTTGTCTAGTTGGGTTTAGGTGTGGAGGCTAAAAAAGGGATTTTCTAAGGATCATGAAATGTTTCACAAGAGTGGTTGTATTTGACTAAGTGAATAACTTTGCCTTTCACTTTTTTCCTCTTTTCTCAAGGTATTCTCAGTCACCAGCTCTGGAATTGGATAAATTCCTTGAAGATGTAAGGTGAGAGGGAAAAAGACGGTATCTATGGGGAAGCAGGGCCATGGGGAGTCAGTCGGGCCCTTGGGAATCCTTGTTTAACATACTTAATCTCACTCCAGAAATGGGATATATCCCCTAACGGCCTTTGGGCTACCTCGGCCCCAGCAGCCCCAACAAGAGGAGGTGACTTCACCTGTAGTGCCCCCTTCTGTGAAGACTCCAACACCTGAGCCAGCTGAAGTAGAGACTCGAAAGGTGAGGAACAGCCAAGAGTACATGTGTGGGATGGTCCAGGGCTTCTTAAACTTTTTTCCACTCGAGACTCCATTAGCATTTCTTAAACTGTAGGCCTTTTTTTTTTAATAATTTATTTTGAATTATTAACAATCACTTCCATAAGCTTTTGAGTTTTAAATTTTTCTCCCCCTCCCTCCCTGCCTCCCCTTCTGCTCATTTCACTCAGCATCAGACCATAAAAGTCTTTCCAGGTTTTTCTGAAATCAACCTGTTCATCATTTCTTGTAGCACAATAGTATTCCATTAAATTCATATACCACAACTTGTTCAGCCATTCCTCAATTGATGGGCATCCTCTCAACTTCCAGTTCTTTGACATCACAAAAAGAGCTGCTATAAATGTTTTTGTACATGTAGGTCCTTTTCCCATTTGTATGATCTCTCTGGGATATAGCCCTCGGAGTGCTATTGCTGGGTCAGAAGGTATGCACATTTTTATAGCCCTTTGGGCATATAAACTGACACCCCATATGGGGTTGAGATGGTCCAGCCATTGAATTTAGAGTTATAAGTCCTAGGTTTTAAATCTGGCTTTGCCACTTATTGTGACTTTGGGCATGTCACTTCATCTCTATGAAATCTGTTTCCTCATCTCAGAATGGTTTTTATAAGACTTAAATGACTTATATGAATGTCAGCTCTTCTATCTGAAAGGTAAAGGTGATTGGTGAAATAGAAATATCTTTGAATTTTATAAGAAATTAGAGAATCTCAATTGATATGTTAGAATGACAGACTTTCCATTGTAAAGTACTTCACAACTCATCTAGTAAAACTTCAAAACCCATTTTGGACAGCTCTATAATCATTAGGACATTTTTCCTTATATTGAGCTTAAATCTACTTGTTGGTAAGCAACACCCCTTCTTCCTAGGTCTGCCCTTTTGAGGTTTTGACGTTTTTATGTATGACAGCCCTTCACATACTAAAAGACAGCTGTCCTGTCTGCCCTGGAGTAAGTCATGTGTCCCAGGGGAAGGTCCCAGAGAGAGGCTTTCAGAGATAAAGAGGTTCTCTTAACACTTGCCCCCTCAGGTGGTGCTGATGCAGTGCAACATTGAATCAGTAGAGGAAGGAGTCAAACACCATGTGAGTCCCAGGGGACAGAGCTACTGGGGACTGGGGTAGGATGAGGGGGATTGGGCTTCTTCCCTTTTCCTAACTTTGCTGTATTTCAGCTGACACTCCTGCTCAAACTTGAGGACAAATTGAATCGGCATTTGAGTTGTGACTTGCTGCCCAGTGAGTATGGCTTCCTTTTCCCTCCATATCTATCTTCTCCCATTAGGAAATGGAGCGGTCTGTCATCTTTGCCTTTTGAAGGACTGTCAATCCTGGGTGGGAAAGGGGGCAAGGTTCATTCTGGGTATATGGGAAATACTACAAAGGCATCTTTAGCCTCTTATTGGGATTATGGGAGGAAGGATAACTTTCTCCTCAGCCAATTTAACTAGTCCTATGCTTGAGAAATTTTAGAGTTGCATGTTCTTTGGCCCTTGTAGACATGTTTTCAGTTCACCTCCATAATAATGTCTTAACATTTTTTCTCTCCCACTTGTAGATGAAAACATCCCAGAATTGGCTGCAGAGCTAGTGCAGTTGGGCTTTATCAGTGAGGTGAGGTTTTCCTGCCTTTTTCCTGGAGTCATTTTGACCTATCCCCCCTTACTTCAGACCTCACCTTGACTTCTCCCTCTTTAGGCTGACCAGAGTCGACTGACCTCTCTGCTGGAGGAGACTCTAAACAAGTTCAATTTTGCCAGGAACAGCACCCTCAACTCCACTGCTGTCACCGTCTCTTCCTAGTGCTTACTCCTATGCCCTGGGCTGTGACTGTCATCAGACCTGCTGCAGCCCCTTCTTGCCCCACCTCCCCTCTGGGAGTCAGTATTACCCAGTGCAGCGCCCTCTCCCCTTATTATTTAAGAGGGAGGTGAAAGGCTCTGGTTTTGAGCATCATCACTCCCTTTCCCTTTTTCTTCCTCTCCCCCTGCACTTTGTTTACTTGTTTTGCACAGAACTGAGCCAGGGGGGTACTCAGCTGCTCTTGCCCCTTGGGTGGGGCATTAGAGTGGCTGCTTTGCCTTCAGGCGTTCCACCAGCTTCCCTGAGCCTGCCCAGCCTGTGCTGGAAAGACGTTGGGGCAGAGGAAGCTGATTACACAATCCCGCTAGGGAGGACTGGTTCGGAGAGGTGGGAGGGTGCTGCAGTGTGGCCCCTTGGGGCTGTGTGACTCAGTTGCTGCTGTAATAAAGTCTACTTTTGCTAATGTCTGCGCCTCTTTCTTCGCGCCTTCTCTGAGAGGGGGCGCTGTCGGCCCTCAGAGAGCAAGGGGCGTGGCTGGGGCGCAGGTAGAGAGGGGCGGGACTAGAGAGCGCGGGGCGGGGCGGTCAGGCTCAGGTGTACAGGAAGGCCAAGTGGCCGGCGGCGCTCCAAGCAGGATGTGCTGTGGAGGCCGCTGCCAATTCGGTAACTTCCCCAGGGGAGGGGTGGTGTGCTTCCTCGGTTCGTGGGCCGCCGACTGAGCTCTCTCTCACCCTGGGGCCCTTCTATTCCCCCGGCTCTGGGCCGGTGCTTTGCAGATGCGGCCCAGGGTCCCCGCCGGCTCATGCGCACCGGCCTCGCCTTGATCCTGGTGGGCCACGTGAACTTGTTGGTGGGAGCAGTGCTTCACGGCACCGTCCTGCGGCATGTGGCGAACCCCGGCGGAGGCATCACGCCCGAGTACACCACGGCCAACGTCGTCTCCGTGGGCTCGGGCCTTCTGGTGAGCCGCGAGCTTGGCGGGCCAGGCCGGGCTGGTGGGGCTCGCCGGCATCCCGCGCTCACCTCCGAGCCCTTTGTCTCCCCAGAGCGTGGCTGCGGGACTCGTGGCGTTGCTGGCCTCCAGGAACCTCTTCCTGCCCAAGCTGGTGAGGCCGAGCGGGAGAGGCGGGGCGGGGCTGGGGGCTGCCCGAGGCCGAATCGGCCCCAGCCCCAAGCTAGCGGCTGCTGCTCTGTGTGGGTGGGGGGAGAACCATTAACTGTCTGCCCCACCCCCAGCACTGGGCCTTGCTGGCCGTGTCCTTGCTGAACCTGCTCCTGTCCGCCGCCTGTTCCCTGGGGCTGCTCTTGGCCTTCTCGATGACCGTGGCCAACGGAGGCCGACGCCTTCTTGCCCAGTGCTACCAGAGCCTCTCCGACCCATTGGCACCCACTGACGACTGCCCTTTCGACCCCACCCGAATCTACGTAAGCGTCTTCCAAAGTCTGAATCCATCCTTCCATTCTTTTCCCAGTGCCCAACTCAGAACACTTCTCTGGCCGTTCCCCCTCCCCTCTGCCCTCTAGGAGACGGCTCTGGCTCTCTGGCTTCCATCTATGCTCATGGCTGCAGCCGAGGCTGCTTTGTCTGGATACTGTTGTGGGGCTGCACTAGCCCTTCGGGGGTTCCAGCCCTGTGGGGAGGAAGGACTACTGCAACAGGTAAAAAAAAAAATGAGGAAGGAGCTGCCAAGAAAGGGCAGGCAGGGGCGTTTCTGAACTCAGGAGTTGATTCAAAACTTGGGCCTTGGCCAAGGCCCTAACCCTACTATTTTATAGCTTCAGGAACTGGGAGAATCTGAATTCCCCAAAGGGAAAAGGCAGGAAAGTGAACAGCTTTTGGAGGAAGAAATCCATACATCGAGGAAAGTCTGGGTTTAGGACAGGTAAGGAGCCATCTGGAAAAAATAAACTGGGGGCTGAGTCTGGGTAGAATTATACATGTATACCCAAGTGTCACTTTAGGCTGCCCTTGGTTTTTTCTACCTCCCATTCTGTTTTTGATTTTTTTACCCCACTACCCCTTTACCAATACTAGTTTTCCCCTTTCTTCGGCAGTTCGTGTGATTGAAGCTAACAAGCCTGGGGTGACAATTGTTTTTCCTTCCTAAAACCACAGGAAAACTAACCCAGAATGTGATGTAAATAATTGTAATAAAAGACCTGCTTTCCACTTGCACCTAATTAATGTCTTTGGTTGTGTAAGGATGATTTTAGGTCAAAGAAACAGTGATCCAGTTCTAGGTCAAACTCAGAACTTTAATGTAGAAGAAGAATACAGCAGCACAGGGCCTTTGTGCTTTCTCCATTGCTTTGGGTCACTGAAAGGAGAAGCTGGTGCTGGGTAACCCTCCACACCACTGGCTAATGAACTTAAGGACATCTTGGCATACTGGGCTGTGGGAGGTCTGTGGGGAAAAGTAAAGGAAAACTTGGTAAAGACAATGTCCTGGGATTCCTGGTAGAAGGGAAGGAATTTGGCAAGAAGTGATCCTATCTAACCCCAGACACAATGAGTGAATTATGGCATTCTTACCACCCTCCCCCAGTGCCCCCATCTTATTTACTATATCTAGACCACCCAACCAGACTTTCTGACATAATTCATAAGCTTTTGTTCTCCCCACCCTCATCCACATCTCTAGTCTCTCCCACAGACCTTGATGGCCATAAGAAACTTATTCCAATTGTCCTTGTTGGCTGCTTTCCCTGGTTGCTTAAATTCAATCTTGTTCCTCAAGATTGGGTACCCTGGGGTGGGAGAAGAGCAGTTGGTTTTTCACTACCGGTTTTCTATACCTATCAGAAACGAGCACAATGGAGGTGCCTTTCCTGCTCTTCTCCCATACAAAGGTGGTTCTGTACCTGTAATAAGGCAGGGCAATGCCCGGACGCCAGTACTTGCTGCCACCAGGGAAGCCTCATAGGCACCTCGTTCATCTCGAGGTAGAACCTGCTCTAGCCGCTGGTCCATTGAGACTGTGAGCACCCAATCCCGAACTTCTTCCCTTTGGGCCTCCTGGAAAGAACAGGACTTTTCACATAGGGCATGGGAGGCAGAACTCAAATATTACATAATGGCACAGCAGGCCACCTTCTGGCTACAAATCAGGGGTCTTTGCAAAGCTTCCCCTTTCTTCTGATCACACTTCCAACTTAGGGAAATTCAGGAAGCCCTCACAGCAAAATTCCTATTTCCCTTACGCTTTCTGTCCTCTCCTGGCATAGGGAAAATATGAATGAAAATGTTAATATTTACCTGCTCATAAAAGAAGTGGAAAGCTCTTCTCTCCCCAGCTGAACTCTCACCTGACCAATCAGGCTTTTCCAAGCCTGAGCCCTTACCGGCACATGTTGCTTCGCTGGTAGTGGCACCTCAAAGGGAATGTCTGTATCCTGGAAATCTGAGTGGTCAAGGGCATCCAGAGTGCCTTCCTCTATTGCCTGAAGAAGTCACAGGAGCAAAGTGGTGAGACTAACAGCACAATGAGCTCTCTGCGCAAGGTCACCCACTCCCCTGGGCATAGCTGCCTCTAGACTTACATCCGTCAGATCCAAGAATCGGTTCAGGAAGATGAATGCCATGTTCTCCCAACCTACTGCCTAGGTAGGAAGTAATAAAGGAAAGGAGAATTTAGTAACCAGCTTCTGGTTACTAGGAGCTTTTACCCCTCAGTTTTCCTATTCACCCCATGTCCCTTTGCCTTACTCTTTACACTTCTGAGCTCCTGATACTTTGGCCACATTACTCATTTCATCACTCACCTTGGCAGCTGTGCCTGCCTCATAGAAAGCCTTGTCTGCAGGAATTAGTTGAGTGTGGCGTAAGAGGGACACGGAAAGCCGGGCAGCCACTGTCTCCTATGAATTATGATTTAAAAGGCAATGAATTAAATCAAGGGTGCAGGCTTGTACTGGGGAGGCAGCTTCAGAGAGATGAGTGACACAGAAAACGCAACTCTATACAAACATTTAATAATATTTAACCTCTCTGGACCAGTGTTTTCTCCATAATGCACAGGTTGGACAAGGTCCTTCTAAATTACCTTTAAGCACTAACATTCTGTGATCTCTAAGGTCCCTTTTAGTTTTATGAGCCTATGATTCTAAGTACATAAAGACAACGTGTTGACAAATATACGACATATATTGTGAGATGGAAGAGTGAGAGATCATAGGAATTGCATACTTGGATATAATGTAGCTGGGGAAAACATCAAAGAGACCATTACAAGAACAGGAGAGCTGGACCTTAAGTAGAGACACTGGGGATGTGTTAAAACTGTCTTCAAATGTCTGAAGTGTTGTCAGGTAGAAAGAGGGACAAGATTTATTCTGGGCAGATAGAGGACAGAATCAGTACCAATGGGTGTGTATTTGGCAGATTAAAAATTAAGAATTTTTTTTTGTTGTTACTGTGGCAATCAGGGTTAAGTGACTTGCCCAGAGTCACACAGCTAGTAAGTATCTGAGGCTGGATTTGAACTCAGGTCCTCCTGACTCCAAGATCAGAGCTCTATTCACTATGCCACCTAGCTGCCCCTAATTAAGAACTTTCTAAAACTTAGAAGAGTCAGTACTATGGAGTAGAAAGAGCCCTAGCTTTGCACTGATAGATCTCAATTCTAACCTAGGTGTGGACATTGACGAGCTGTGGATTCATGAGTGTACCTGACTTCTAGGACACTCAGTGCCCTCAGCTACCTAGCTACATGGTTGTTTTGAAGGATAGTACTCTGTAAACATTAAAGTGCTATATAAATGTGATTTACTATTTAATCACTAACAATTAGAGCTGTCCAAAACTGGAATTGTGTGCCTCAGGAAGTAGTGGGTTCCCCATGGTAGAAAGTATGCAAGTAGAGGCAGGACCTTCTAAAGGAATGGAAGTGGACTCAGTGACCTCTAAGGGCCTCTCTAATTCTAAGACTTCATAAGGTAGTCACACTAGTCCAATGCTAAAAAAGACCCGAGACATTTGCATTCAGTTAGCCAGAATACTCCTTTGTCACCTTGGCTGCCATGCAACGATGCTTCCTGCATAAATCTAAGAAGGTGCTACAGCATGAGCTTGAAACCTGCTTGCGTTCTGATGAAGCCTTGGACATGACTTCTTGAAAGGAGCATTATGCCCCTCCGCCATTTCCCTCCATCTCACCAGCTGCTTGATGCTTTGGGCTGCAGAACGAGTGGCATAGTAATGAGCAATCAGAAGCATTGTCTCAAATTCTTCATGGGCTGCTGAGTTTGCTTCACTGGATTTCACTAGGTTTTCACACTGGGGAAAGAATGAAAATAAGTGAGATCCCAGCCTAGTTTGGAGGCCAAAAGAATACAAAGGGATGAATGCTATGAACACTGAGAAGAAGATGGAGTAGTTCTGTGATGAAAATGTGTCTCTGTAAACGAAGGCCCTGGCTCCCTCACCAAGTTGAAGAGGACATCCCGAAGGTCAGCCCAGCTGTGATAGGCCTCAGCACTGTTGGTTCCAGGGGAGCTCACCATATCCGTGAAGATCCTTTTGTAAATGTTGAAGTTCTGGAGGTTATTGAGGTGGGAAAGAAAGAAAGGAATCTTAGTAAGAAGTAAAAGACTGGAATTGGAGAGGAGATTTATTGTTTGGGAGGGAGGCTCTAAATGAGGAACAGGGTGTATGTGTGTGTATAGGGAGAGAATAGGTTTTTCAGGGGCAAAGGAATACAGAAGAGGGAAAAAGAAATGTTGATAATAGAATGATAATACTACGAACTCATGTTTTTATAGCATTTTGTGGCTTACAAAGCACTTGCCTCACAACCTAGTGCAAGTATTATTATCCCTATTTCACAAATAAAAAACTGAAGTCCAGAGACTAAATGATTTGCCCAGCTAGAAAGTATCTAAGCTGGGCCTGGAACTCGGGTTTGCTGACTCCAAATCCTGCCTCTCAAACCAGATGTGGGTTAGTCTCCGCACAGCCATAAGCTTCCGGAGAATATATGTGCTGACTCTAGTGAACTGAGATAAGACAAAGGAGAAGAGGGATTGGGTATGATGTTTATTTCTTTGGGGAGAAGTTTACTAAGACTTTGGGGATGTTTCCAGTAGCAAGATTAGACTCTGAAACAATGGTCCTGATGGATCAGCAAAGACTTGACGTTAAAAGTTTAAAGGATTTCCCAAAATATGGGTATGTTTCATTAAAGTACACATTTCTAAGGGAAGTGCCATTTCTTCTAGAATATGGTAGATTCTAGGCAGGTGTAGGACACTCGGGTGAAAGGAGGTTCTGAGAGGAGAGGTTGGGTTATCCATGGGATAGTTATTCTCCCCCTGCTGAGTGGGAACGGTCCACAGGAAGAAAGAGGGTTTCTGTAAGGTTTCCCCCAGGAAGAGGCAGTACCTGTGGGTTGGCAGGTGCTCCGTGCTGCACATAGAGGGCTAGCGCCTGGGCACAGCCACCCTCTCGGATCAGGTGGGTCGAATACAATGCCACATACTTGTGCAGGATCTTGTAGTTCTGCCCAGAGAGGAAGATGGTGGGGACAGGTTTGGGACCAGAAAGATTTGGAAGGAGAAGAACATGGGTGTATTTAGGGGAAACAAGGCAAGTGTGGATCAGCTTTAAACACTGAAGTTTTGCAGGCAAATGGACTTGGGGGAAAGTGGAAGCAAAGGGGTAGGTATGGGCTGTTGGAACAAGTTTACCTGCTTGGTGGCTGTGTCAATGCACTTATCCCATTGACCCTGCTCCACATACAAGTCCAGAGCAGCCACAACATCCACACCTACAAGCTATTGGCAAATTGAAGAGAAATATTTCCATGGGATATGAGAGGAGCTTTCTCCGACCCCTCCCGGAATTCTGTCTCCTACCCCACCAGCTTTGGCATTTTCTGGCAACTCACTGAGTCCACTTTGCCCTGGTTCTTCAGGAACTCTTTATATTGCTGGTCCACATAGTCCTCATACCTAGGGAGACATATGTTTCAGTTAACCTCTGGATTGCTGGAAGTCATATCCCATTCCATTCTCATCCTTAAAGAAAGTGAAAGGTTTCTAAGTAAAAGGTGAGGTTTTGCCTTTACCGGGGATCTAATTCCTTGGCCACCCGCTTGGCCTTGTTCCATTCTTCACCTTCCATGAAAGCATCAATTGCTTCCTTAACTAGGTCTAGGTTCAAGTAGAGCTCTGCAGCCTACAAA